CGTGCTCTGTAGAGGACGAACGAAATGACGTACACAAATGCGGTTTTCGACAATAATGTTGGCAATAAGGGACGCTACGATATCTACTTGAGTGCGATACAATACAATAAAACAAAATTTATCTTGCAACAAAAATAATGAAACGAACTTTAAATTACATATAATGCAAGACTATATCATTAGATTTTTGATTATAAATGAAGAGTGCGAGCTGATGCAGAAGTGTAAATGCAGACACCGATATTAAATTCAGTCTTCAACCACAAGTTATTGACCAAATTTAACTTTGACAGGGACTTAAACAAAATTTGGCTTCGAAGTTCGCCTTGGGAATAGTCGAATAAGAGGACCTCTGCCCAACTGGGTCTGTTAGTGGACGCAATTCGGACTCGTCCGTACCTCATGACCGTACCAGGACTGTTATCGGGTTTAGTCCGATGCGCATCGGACTAAAATCGGACGAGGCAGGGATTCTGGAACACCGTCCGGACAAGCCCGATGTTGGTCGGTCCGATGGAGGACTGAAACCGGGCTAGTCCGAAAGGCGCGCGGACTCACCGCGGAACAGTCCGAGGCTCGACGGACTGTTTCGGAACAAAAAGGGAACAAGATACGGAACTTTTCATTTTTAAACGGGTGGCCCCACAATTTGGCCACTGAGCGGTGCCGACCTCCACAAACATGGCCAGCATGGCCTTGAACTGGAGCCGATGTAGGTCTTTGCGGTGTGCACGATTGTGCCTGAACCGTTGGGTTTGCAACAGTGAAAAAGTTCCTAGATTCTCTTAAAACATGTAGCTAGCATCTGACAGGAAGGTTTTTTGAAATTCCACTCCGATAGACTTGAAAAAAATTCCCAAAAATTGAGTACATAAATATGGGTTGAAATTTGGGTACTTTTTACCTGGTTTGGGTACCTTGCAATTGAGTTATAAAAAATCGCCCTTGTCAGATCCTTGGCACATAAATCGACAAGATTCGGGCAAAATATTACGTCGATAGGTCCAAAACTACGGCCTGGAGGTTGCACACCGTTTGCAAAAAATCTTTCCGAGTAAAACGAGTTGAAACTTTTCAGTACCTATGTATAGCGACGAACCAAACGCTAGGGCAACTTACTGAACTGGTCCTAAAAAATTCCGAGGCTCTAGAGGACTCCTTCCTCGTCGTGTGTCTTGTCCTGAGCGGCCAGGCGAACCCTAGTGGTCCAGCCACCCAGCCACTTGCAGCACGTTTTGGGCTCTCCTCAGCGCTATTTTCCAAGTTTCAACATCCGCTTTGCGGCATTAGAAAGAGGAAAGATCACCGGGCACTCGCGAAACTTCGAAGGTCCAGTTCCGCAACTCTAAAACTAAAAATATCACACCCAATTCGATATCTGACAATTTAATCACTTGTGAGAGAGTTTCAAAGTCGCGAAGTGAGGACCGGGGCCAACATACCAACGAACCACGGAGTAAAAGCTGCCCTTGGGGTCTTACGGCTTATACTTGGAGGCAGGAGGAGGTCAAGGGATAGGCAGAAGTACTGGTAGGAACCGTTTATTGGCAACTTGGGAAGTCTCTCCACAAACACACACAAGACTAACTGGTAGCGTACGAGAGCGGACTGCGCGTCCACTCAGCAGCGCGGTTAGAACTCAACTGGCGGCCCGGCCGGGCTCGGCTCCTGGGCTCCGCACTCGAGTCTCCCGCCGCGCGGCGGCGGAGGGGGTAACTCGCCTGCCAGCCGCTAGGGGCAGCACTCTCGCGAGGCGGTCGCCCGTCAGGTCGTTCCTGACGACAGGGAAGGCGCGTAGCAGACGGCTTTCTGCTAGCTTAGTTCAGATTGTAGTAATCTTTACTTCTTGCGATAAAATCGCAACTCTGTCACACTACACGGGTCTCTCTTTTAAAAAGTCCTGCGCACAGTCGTGCACATCGCCGCAAGTGTATTACAGAGTCGTGGTTCTCTCCTTCGGAGCTAGTGAGCTGGGAAAACCCTGTCAAAACCCAACATCCAGAATCGGGTTAGGTTATGAGTAGCAGGTTGTGCAAAGTCTGCTGGTAACTTATCAGATGCTGATAATTTAACCCAAAGTCTCAGCAACTGCCAACCCACAACCATCATCAAAGTGCCTCTAAATAAAATGAATTCTTGAAATCTGTCTTGCAGCTTGAGTCTGGTATGGCCTCCCACAGGCGTCTCCTTCCGTTGCTGGCGTTCTTGCTGGCTGGTCTCTGGGAAGGTCTAGCAGGGCTGGGTCAACCAGGGACTTGGATAGGATTTGGTGCATGGTGACTCGAGCTGCAACACAATTTCACTTCCGCAGTGAAACGTTCGAGACTCTCAGATCATCCCTGATAAGTTTTCCCTCACTGGTTTAAGTCAGTAACAGGATTCGTGCGGCCAACTAATAAAAATAATTTTCCCATAGTTAGCCACCACTAGAGTGAATCTGAATAATTTAGAGGAACTGCTGTCACTGCTGGTTATATCTGGAACTTTGCAGAAAAAGTCTCCTCTGATGGTCACTCGCTCCCCAGTGTTCCATGGTCTGCCGCACTAGTTCCGATCCTTTTCTGATTCTCATTCAATCAGACTGCCAGTGAACTCTCTCGTGCACAGACCATGGTCTGGTCGGGCCCTTTGATTCAAAATCAGTGTCCCTTCCAGTCTCTCATCCAGGCTTACTAATGCAAGTTCCAGGTTTTACCCTGCAGTGACTCAACTCAGGTGCACGGAAAAAAAAAGTTGGCTACTACAATCAGATGTTGGTTGCCACGACCAAATTGGCCGATAGATTTCAGGACGATCGAATTTTTGATTGAGATGACCAACTCGGATGTCTGTGGTCAACTGGTTGTGGGCACGGTATGCTTAGTCGTGAGAGCCACTGTTTTTGACATACCACGACCAACTGTGACCTAGTTACAGGGTCGAAGTAATATTTTATACTTTGTACTAGCAACCGTACCAGCTGATGGTGGGGATCAAGCTCAGTCGATAACACCAACTGGTAGCAACCGATAGGGACGACTGCTTAGACAGTACTAGGAAACGACTTCCTATATTCTGTCTACAATACCTCATACTTGCAGCAGCCAGAAGTCTCCTTAGTAAGAATCAAACACTTGCATGAGGTAATTCAATGCATTGATAGTAGATACAGAAAATTTCTCTGCTGGAGGTCAGCCTCGTCTATCAAAATTATTTGTTTTTATTTGTTTAAGATGTTTTTGGTAGTTGAAAAAAGGAAATAATAAAAATTGTGTGCATATAGATATCAGGCTTTTATTTTCTCAGTTTTTTTCCAAAAAAATATTTGGCAAAAATGATTTCTTGTAACAACAAAAAAAAACATCATTCATAAACTAGATAGCATTAAAGCATAACAAAAGTCTAAAAATTCAAGAAGAATAACAAAAATTCTGAAGAGTTCAACTCAGTCACTAAACGAATTAGTTTACACCAATTTCTTGTTAAGCAGACTAGATAGCATTAAAGCATAACAAAAGTTTCAGAAATACAAGCAGAATAACAAAAATTCTAAAGAGATCAAATCAGTCACTAAACAAA